TATATAAGTTGCCTACATCTGATTTCTCCAATGTAATTCAAATTACATGGAGTTTAAATGGCAAAAATTAAACAAGGAAAATTGGGCAAAAATTAATGACCGTTCTGGGGTACCAATGGGTAGTAGAAGTTGTGCACCAATTTTCATTGAAATCGGGGTGTGTCATCTCGGGAGCATACCTTGTAAGTCGAGTTTGTAGGCGGTTCGTTCCACATGTCCAATTAGAGTTTTTATATAATATGATATTTTTACAATAACAAAAGGTTAAATTGGTTAAATTCATAATTTGTTTCACAATATAGTATGGTACGTATAATAAAGTTTGTATTTTATTTATTTTATATTATAATTTAAAAATTACTTGCATCATAGCTGCAATCAACTAATCACCTCCATATATATAATTTTAGAAACGACCTTGCCCCTGATACGCACTTTTATTTTCCTGTTAAATCCAAATATTTTTAATTTAGAATTTTAAGAAATGCTAAATAATCCAATTCTTATTTTGTCTCTTCCGCTTCAAAACTATAATGCTCTTATTACTGCTTCACAACAAGACATTTTAAAGTTTGACAACTTAAATAAAATAAATAGAGGGTCCCTATGAAAGGCGTCCGGTTAAGCCTCTCATTTATTGCGTGTATAAGAGACAGGATATGATAGCATCTTTTGGCCTAGCTCTCGGTACGCACACTTTTGCTTCTGAATATAATTGCAAATTGAAACGTCCAACTCAGACAAATAACCAGCGGCTTGAAAATGGCGCGTCTTTACTTTCTGTTTGATTTATGTCGGCAGACAGTTTACGTTGAGAGTGACGTCGTGCGAGGCACCCACACGCGGCGGAATCTGTGCAAAATGCTCGCAGACGACCCGAGATCGATTTATTTGGAGCCTGTCTAGGTGACGATACGAAAACAGCACATCGCTCTCTATCTTTAGATCGGTCTGCATTGAAACAGGAGGCTTGTGTAACGAGAGCAAAGAAGTGAAAAGTGAGAGAGCGAGTGCATCGTGTCAGCCGCGTGAGCACTACTTTGTTTACGCCGCTATTTCGGTCTGGCTCATGAGCCGCTTGCACGCCGCTTCATTTTTTCCTGAATGGTTTATAGCGTTCGTTTTGGACTCCCAGATCGCTTTTTTATATGCAGCTGATGGAGTCTAACTTTTTCGGTTCAAAACTCTAGATGGTAAAAAAGTTTTCATTCAAGCGTTTTTTACAACAACATTTTTTTAAACTTACTCTCAATAAAAAATAATCATGCTTTACTTCTAGTAAATTTATTTGTTTATTTTTATTGAATAATCTTAAAATTTCTTTAAGAAAAGTGACCTTTTTTGTTTGTCCTTGTTCGACTGATTTTAAATTATTTGCTATCATCTATTAAAGTAAAACAATTTGGAGTTTGCTTTCAATTTAATTCCATTGAAAATTGGTTAATTTTCTTGAAATTATTGAAACTAAAAAGCTTTTAATGATCTTTCGACCTTATTGCAAATTTCTTCTGTTCAAAATTGAAATTATATTTGAATGAAAATTATCGTCTTCCATTTTTACTGATAAAATTACGGCTTATTGACATGTGTGCTTGGTCTCCGCCTCTATGCATGTGAGAGAGGCTGGTTGACACGAAAAGTCAGTGGAGCGCAGAAATTTTTACTGAAAACCGAAACCTCACATAATAAACGATATTCGCTGTGCAGCAGCTTTTTCTGAATAAATATGAGGGACTGTCAGATCGGATTTCCTCTCCTTTTTGTATCACGATAATTCCTCTAGCCAGCGAAAGCCCTTCGGCACTGACGAAACTGCGGCATCAACGTTCCTTGGAGGGACGCGTCATAATTTATAGGACAGAAATTCTTGCGGCCGGGTGCGATATTATTAAATAATGTCATACAAAGGGGGACGGGTTGGGGTTAAATGGTCTCTTTCGGCGACGCGCCCGCGCTATTTAGGCACTTCTTTTCATACGAAAGCCATAACTTTTCATGAATGAAACATGGTCGCTTAACATATTTTTTCAGACGCAGAGCACTGTAAAAGAGATTTTTGAATGACAATGAACAAGGAGATCAAGTTTCACTTTTTTTAGGCATTCACAGCTGCTTTTGACCTTTCTTTGAAAGATTTGATTTTGATATAAAGAGTTAAACAAAAAAAAAATTTGTGATATTCATGCAAAGTTGCGACGAATGAAAAAAAAATTGTATATACTTTATTTTTTTTCATAAATGTTCACATCAATTTTAGAAAACATGATTTACAATTCTTCTGATCTCTTTCCTCGCAAAAAATATCCGCGTATATATACAATTAAATTTTTTTTTTGGAGTAATTTACAATTTAGCCACCAGTTTTTAAACCGAGTTCTAATTATTTTTTTAATAATTATCTCATTATGAGTCATAATTCCAATAGCATTGTTTTTTTATAAGGAGTTAAATCTAAAAATAGTAAATAATAGTTAATTATAATAATTAGTCAAATTTAGCCATGCGGCACGAATTTGTACCTTAATGGGAATTTGATTTCACTATCCGCAGGCAGCATAATTTAAAGTGTATAAATATATCGTTTTTAACGCATGACGCCTCAAGCATAAATTATGCACATTTTCTTTCCTACTCCGCCCACGCGGCTGGTCCTTTACGTTTTGAAGAAGCGTCGTAACTCCTGGAAAATAAATTATGTATATATAATGTTGTTGAGATTCCGCTCTGGCTCATGTAATTAATGTCTGACGGTGGCCGCCGGGTGCTCTCTTTGGTGCTTTGATGGAAATCAGAAACCAGCGTGCGCGTGAAGTGCAAAGATATAAGTTTAAGTAAGTGGTATACTATCTTTATATACCAAGAGTGAGACCATGCAGATCGCTTTTGCAGAAGTAATGAGGCTTTAAATTATTTTCAAGGAGCACTTCAATTTCATGGTGCTTCTAAGTAGGACCATAATAGTTTGTCTCATATTCTCGATTTTTATATTTTTTATATTATAAAAAAATCTATACAAATTGCCAGAGTATAAACACAAATCCAAAATTAAATACATTTTCGCAGCAAGATAATACAGAGAGAGTGAAAAGAGTAGGTAACAACTTATTGTGAACACTGCAGAATTACTTTATTGAATGCGATTGAATGAGGAATAAATAAAAATAATGAAAATCTTAAACACTTAAATTCAAGATTTTTTTCTTTTTCATAATTTACAACATGATTGGTTTTGGTGCTCGCCCTGTTTCTTTGCCTAAATTCAAAATCACTTTTGGGTGTGCCTGCAGCCTCTCCTTGAACATTTATTATTTAGCTGCTGACTGTGCCGTTTTTGTCCATACCACTAACCAATTCGTCTGCTCTTATAATGCTTTTGTTCCGATGCGATTATATTGAATTGTTGAATATTAGGTCATGCGTGGTCGAATGATTGCTCTGCAATTGTTACACTACTTATTACACACGCACTGCTGCAGATCACGTAATACCCATACACATAATTTAGCGGCAGTGCAAGTGTTGAGGCCGAGCGTCCAGCACGTCAGTAAAGAAGGAGTTGGCAATCAGGCAATCAGAGTGCGATTGTAATGACCATGCGGCGACCTCACCCCTCTGCTCTTGCTCTCTCGCGCATTATGCTTTAAAAAGAGACTAATGCTAATAATGCGCACAAGTATATGCTTAAAAGTATTGCATGCTTATTAATTAGTTAAGGCAGTCCAGGTTTAAAAGATAAAAGCAAAATACTCGATAATCAATCAATAAAAGGAACTTTTAAATAAAATGAATACCAATAAGCAAATATTACAAAAAAAATAAAGAGTTCATATAATTAAATAGGCCGTGATCACAACAGTTAATTTTATTTTAAATGTTAAACTATCTTAAAAATTAATTCTTCATTAAACTTCAATATTGTATTTGTTTACTTTTCTTTATAACTAGAAATGAACCTTTTTAAATGTAATTTCATATTTTTATTGTTATTCCAAATAATAATATCTAGTAAAAAATGCTTTACTACATTTTCAATTATTTTCAGCTGTTAAATTGGTTTAAAAATAAATTTTATCATATGTAAATCATTTTCAAGTTAAAGAAGGCTGCTAAATGATTCTCAAAAAAGTTATTGATGGATCAATAAGATTTGCATGATTTGAAAAATTATTATTAATTGAAAATAAATTCATTTTCATTGCGTATATGAAAATCTCAATTAAAAATATTTCTGACTTATTTTATTTTGCTCCTCTCCTGAATTGAAATGGTGTATAATTAATTACAATTAAAATTATTAGCATCCGTATTCAATTCTCACCAGCCAAGATTTTGATCACGCTGGGAATGGGACCATGCGATTGCGGTTTTTACTTGCAGCTGGTCCCGCAAAAAAGCTAACTGGATGGCATCTGGACCAATAAAACAAAAGTGAGATGCATGCAAATCACGCAAATTGCCGCCTCGCCAGGCGCGCAATAAAAATAATTTCCATAATTATAATGTTCTAATCCAACTTCCGTTCCGCTTATTTGAATGATTGCATTCCAATTGAGAGCAACAAGTGCTTCGACTGTTGCATCTCTGAATGGAGAGAAACTAATGAATGGCCGGCCATGTGTCGCATCTATTCATTCAGAAGCTATAAGACATCCTGCCAGATACATTACACAAACTTACAAAGTTGTCCTTTTCCTGGGACGACCACAATGGCATGGAGATAATCCAATAGCAAAGAAGGAAACTTGTTGTGGATTTTACTAATAAATTATATTTTGTCTTGCGGATGTCGTTCTGCCAATTCTGTGAGTGGAAGAATTAGTCATTGTATATTTTATATTATAAACTGCAGTTAAAAATTTTCAAAAAATAATGGAACTTTGAGTAGTGAAAATAAATTAATTTAATCATTTTAAATTTGTTGCAATTTTTTTAATACAATATCAAGACATATAAAAATTTTTGCATGGGCTCAAAGTGATATAATATTATTTTTTTTCCAGATGCAAACAATCCTGTACCACAACTCCAGCGGCAACCAGGCATTCACTGGCCGACTGAAGTACAAGGAGGTGCACCGGGCCATAACTTTGCACCCTGTCAAGCAGCACAAACATCTTTACAGAGTACACAACTACATGAGGGTACGCCCAAACGAAAAACACCTCTTTTGAGAGAGCGACCTTTGTTTAACTACCTGTCCTTCACGCCACCTAATTATTATTCTAGTCACTGTTTAGTTACCTTCTCTATAATAAATACTTGGTTGTTATTTTAATTTACTTCCTGAAGGCTTCAAAAATTGTATTTTTCTTTAATTATTTGGTTTTTTGATCTTATAGTCAATGAAAATAAGCGACCTGCAGCAACAATCTCTGAATCTTCGACGTGACATTGGCCACATGTCTGCGCTTCTAGGCGACCCACCACCGGCTCAGAGCCAGAAATACAGCCCAGAGACCATAATGGGTGCGTTATTATTTTATCACACATTTCTTTTTACTCCACACCGCCGTCACTGTATTTATATATTTAACACCCACAAACACGTGTCGTACATACGTCCGTCGTTTGCTCTCAACTTTGCTAATTGCGCTCTAATAGCGTCAAGCGCATTAATTATGTATTTTTTTTTATGAGCCGCTTATCTATGTGCTTTTTTAACAGGCCTGGCTCCGAGTTTGCTGAAGTTCCAGCCTAAAAGCGTGACTGACGTCATTCCTTGGGAGTTTTTCACGAACGCTCTATATTCCGACAAAAACGCTAACCCCAGACGCAGGATGGAACTGCCTCTACGAGAAGGGTTGGATGATGTAGTCAGAGAGGTGAATTTGAAAATTATTGCATAACAAAATGGAAAAATAAAATTTTTACAAATTTGCAGGTCATGGAAATGACCAATGCCTTTTCGAGGCAGCGTGGTCGGATTCTCGACTTCAAAGAGGTGCTCTACGGTTACCACCATGTTAATCCGATCGCTGGACAAGAGCTCGTGCTGGACATGCAGCTCGTGTACAGAAAGTACAGAGGCAGGAAAATGACCATCCCTGTCAGGAGGCACACATATCTTCAAAGAGCCTTCAGTGGTCTCAGCATTAGGGAAACGGTCGACGGACAAGACCCACCAAAAACGCAGGTATTTATTTATTTTTATTATTGTTGTTTATTTGTCCAAATTGCTACATCACATTGGTTACAATCAATTTTAATTTTTAGTTAAATAATATATTACGTTTGAAATATTAAATAGCTATGTTGTTCTGATATGTTTTATAATTTCTTTTATTTCATGCAGGAAATTGAACAAAGTAAAGAAAACCTACAGGCTATAGCTGGGGGTGTTTTGGGACCAGCATATGCCCTAGTCCAACAGCCAGAACAGCGCGTCATCCCAAACCCAGCCAAAGACAAGCTGATTACTTTCCTAGTGCCACTTTCGGGACGACTCAAGACTTTCCACAGATTTCTTTCCTTGTATGAAGAGGTAACATTAATTGTGGAAAAATTTCAAATCTAAATTACAAAAATTAAAAAGAATGAAAAGAAAGTTTTTTTTTAAATTATGAACTTTAAAATAAATTTTATTTACCCTTTCAGATTTGCATTCAGGGCAGACAGGCAACCGCCCTTGTGCTTGTGCTCTTTCCCAGTGATGAAGTGACAGAGACTGTTGCCCTGGTCAGGTCCATCCAGAAGAGACACCCAAGTGCAGCTATTTCCATTTTGCCTGTTTTTGTGCCATTTGCCAGAGGAATGGCACTTCAACTCGGAGCAGCTCATGTCCAGGTATTATAAATTAATATTAAATTTTATCCTCAAACGTATCTATCATAAGATCTCAATAGTTTGATAAATTAACTAAAATAACTATGTAACTTTCAGGCTCACAATGAGGACACCATACTTTTCTTTGTAGATGTAGACATTGTTTTCACTGCAGCCTCCCTTCAGAGGATACGTCTGAACACCATTAAAGGCAAGAGCGCCTACTTCCCAATTGTGTTCAGTGAATTTGACCCTCACGTCGTGTACGGAAACAACTCTGACAGTCAATCACGGAACCACTTTCTCATCAACGACAACACAGGCTACTGGCGGAATTACGGATTTGGAATTGCCAGTGCCTACCCTGCTGATTTAAACGTGGTTGGTGGCTTCAACACTGCCATTAAGGGCTGGGGAAAGGAGGATGTCGACCTTTTTGACAAGTTTGTCAAGAGCAAGGTAAATTTGTTAACACACCTTCAAATTGTTAAAATTGCTCACTTAGGTAGCTAAAGTCTTCAGTTAGGATATTCGATTCCAAAATATAACTTTGAATTTAAAAGGCGCTTTTAGATTTAAAAAAAAATTAAAAAAAAATTTTTTTTCATTTAGTAAATAATTATTTTAATGACTTTTTTAAATTGTATTAATCTGAAGAAAATTTAATTTTTTTTTACAGATTTCGGTATTTAGGGCAGCTGACCCAGGCATGGTGCATGTCTTCCATATAGTCGAGTGTGACACAAGTCTTGACCCACAGCAGTTTGCAATGTGCCAGGGCACCAGAGCCAACACTTATGGAGGAAGTATGCAACTTTCGAGGATTTTGGACAAGTACCCCGAGATTTTGCAAATCGCCAACAAGAACAGAGTTGCAGCTGTTGCATCGTAAGACTTTTCAATCTCGTTCCAACCACCAAAATGTAATACTTGAATCGCGGACAATTTTCCAATTGAAAACCAAGGCAAGACCAAACTCCATGAGTACTTATCATATTTGCGATTTTTGCTGAGAATAGAAAATATTCCAAAAATTGTGCCTTGCCATTTATAAATTTACAAAAACGGAACATGTTCTTTTCAATACATAAAGAATTAAGACTGACGAGTGCATTTTACGTACGAGAGAGAGGATGATTTTAATTTATTTTCGTCAAAATTGCGGATCTTTCTTATTAATTATCTTCGTGGCTGTGACCAAAGATGAAAGGTGAAAATGTGTTTGATCCGAGAGAGGTTTAGAATATGCATTGATTTATAATAAACAGTGATCGAATTATTTACCATGTTGCCTTGCCATAGCGCTGCAGCAGGTGCGTTAAAAAAATTATATCGTTTGCAATAAACATTATCAATGAAAGTAATGATGATATTGAAATATTCTAATCTGCTGTGCCTTCCTACGATAAATAATAAGTAATAAAATGTTATGAATTCCTATGAATTAGATAAGTTGTTTCATTTAACAATAATACTTACATTGAAGGATGTAACTTTTCCTCATTATTAAAAATATATATTTGATAAAATATATAATATTATATTATGCTATTGGATGTAAGAAAGATCTCTATTTTCTGATATTAAAATGAAATTCAATTATGTGTATGTATAAATCGGTATTTAAATATAATAATTTAAAAACAATTTTCTCGCTGCACGTAGCAAATGTAGGACTAGGAAGAATTTTATTTTTGTGCGCTTTACTATTTTTTTCAACATGTTCAAATTCAACTGAAATTTGATATATTGATGTATTTGATGTAATGTCACTAATTTTTTTTTTTTTTTTTTTTTTTTTTGCAAAATAAACTATTAAAAGCTCATTATAAAGTTTTGAATATTCATGTTTTGCAAAAGATTTCAAAAGGAAATTGAGAAATTTTACATATTTATAATGATGTTTTTACTAGTTTTTAGCTATTATGCAGTGAAAATTTAACTTATTTGTGGTATGTTTTAATAGAGAAAGATATGTATTAATTTTTCGTGATTTTTTTATTACAAAAGACAAATTATACACAGCAGCAGCATCAGTTCACACAAATATACAGCACACGACATGAGAATGTAATAATTACACGTTACGACAAATAATTAACCTACGCGTGACTCGTTCCTCCTTAAAGTTGACAATGGAGGTTGAATAAATAATAATGACCCGTTTGGTGTTACACTTCTTAAAGAGCTAAAAGTTTCATAATAATGATCAAAGCTTATAGGACGCAGGGGGGGGGGCAGGGGTTTCTTAAAGTTGACTTGCAAAAAATCAGGATTGGCAGCCAAATATAATTTCGAAATGGAAAACAATAACAAACGATGACAAAAAGGCTTCCGAAATCGTCTAATCAATTAAAAAAATTTAGAAGGGGGCTCCGTAGGAGTTGGAGGGGGCAGAGGGGGCTCCATAGGTGGAGACGGGAGCAGGGGCGTTGTAGCGGGTGGCGGGTCCTCGGTTGTAGCCGGGCACAGGGGCGATGGGGATGGGGGCACCCTGGTGGGTCTGCTGGAACTGGGCGACCTGGATGGCCTGACGGATGCCCTCCAGCGAGATGTCAACAACCCTGACGGCGGGAACTCCGTAAGAGGAGGTGATTCCGCCGGTGCCGCCGCTGGCCTCGGAACGCAGGATGATCTGACGGACCTGCTCAAGGATCTGAGGATCGATGGTCTGGCCCTCGTTGGAGGAGCCGCTGAAGTCGCTGACGGCGGTCAGGGAGCCGCCGCTTGAGAAACCGCCGCCGAAGGAACCGCCCGAGCTGAACGAGCCTCCAGAGCTGAAGGAGCCCCCCTGGCTGAAAGATCCTCCACTTGGCCTGGGATAGTTGTATCCCGAAGGTGGTTCGGCACAGGCCAGAGCGGCCAGGCCAGCGAAGAGGCACTGAAAGAAATAAAAATAAATATTTAAATTGATTTTTAAAAAGCTAAATGATCGCAGTTAAAAAAATCAATGATGATTAAGATTTCCATCAATTGTGATGAATTGTGAATGAAATTACTTCCAGTTTTGAAAGCTTCCTTTTGAAAGTAAAGTTGCAATAAAAACCCGTCATTAATGTAATTACTGTTACTGCATTGGAGGGAATGTAATAGCATTGCATTAGCAAAAAATGCACACACGGAAACTTTTAGAGAGGATGAGAGCTGCAATAAAAAAGTGATTCCGGTGAGAGGCAAAGGACTCGAAACTTTCCTGGCGGTAAAATAAAAAGTATCCAATGAGAAATGAAATATTTTCAGATACGAAAAACAAATTGAGTTGTTTCTCTCATCTGATGGACCGCAATATTTCTAAAATCCACTAAGTCCGGCGAGTGAGTATAAATAATCCAAAATCGTACCACAGTGAAGGCTTTCATGTCGTGAGAGCGGTGGTACAGCGAAGACACCAAGAGTCGAACTGTGCCTTTGCCCTCCCGCTCAGGGCTCTTTATACCTGGCGCTGCGCGTGACGTCATTCGCAGAGAGAGTACCTGTCGTCGTGCAAGAGATGCAGCCCTGCAGCCCAAAAATCTTTTTTCCACATATCGGCAGCATCCTCTCTCGTCAACCGTGTTCGGTGGAAGGGACCGCACGGGATGGCCTATGCAAGAAGGTGTGGGAAAAGAAAGGGTTGCCTGCTTATTTTGTTTTCAAATTTAAATTATGCACAAACATACTCCACTCTCGGCGGCACCGAGAGTATGTACTATATATGTTTAAATAAATAATTCGGCACGAGTGTGGGAGACTCTCGCCTTGAAAAATGAAGATGCATGACGCCACTTATCACAATCAGGCCAACTGAAGAGCTTTTGACAGGCGAAGTACGTGATTTCTTTATGTTTTTTCCCAATATTTTAAAGATGTGGAAATTAAATTTTGGATTTAAAAATTGAAAATCAAAGGTTTAAAGTAAATTTGTGCAGAAAAAGTTTCTTCATTTGTGTCAACAGTTGCTATGAAATTCATGAAAAGGTCAAAATTTATTAAAAAAAGGTCAGGCCCATTTTTTAATTTAATTTACAATTTGCATCAAAAAAATCTGTTAAAATCTGTTTCAACAACTGTTTAATTATAAAAAAATTAACCTTTTAATTTTTTCTGCTCATCTTATAACATCTCTTTTCTGCTTTTGAAACCATTTTTTTTGCATTAAACCAAGTAACCGTGTGAGCAAAAATTTCTCCAACAACTAAAATAATTAGCCTATCTTTCGTCAATCATTTCTTATTCTTCTTTTAAGAAAAAGAAATAATGCTTGTGCACTGGCCATACTGCACTCCAGCTGGACACTTTGTAATGCAAAATGTGCTGCGTATGCACATACAGGTCTTTCCGCACACCTACTTGCTTGATGCAACTTTTCTCGAGACGAGTATCTCTCTTTCTCATTAACCCTTGTGTGATTTCCTTTTAATGACGAGAAAGACTCTCTCGTTATTTGTAGTTTTTTTTTTAGCTTGAATCTCCATTGCTGCGATTCATGAATTTAAATAATGGCTCCGAGTTGCGATGCAATCTTGAACATCTAACCAGACAATGTAAATTCTGCGTGAGAACTCCCAGAAGAAGAGCGACGGCTAATTTAATTAGAAACAAAAAGCGCCGTCAATCACCGCAGAAGCCCATTGTTCGTCCGCCGCGCGCCGGCAGTGTGGCTATTTTTTAGTAAATATAATAATAGTAACATGAACTGTTTGATGTTCCAACCGCGCATAATTTTATGTTTGAATGGCAAATTACGTTCTCACTCTCGCGCGTGTTGCTACTAAAAATTTTCTCCGTGATGGGTTGAGAAAAATTTCTTATTTATGCATATAATGTGTAATTAGGCAAATTTTTACAAAGCGATTCAAGCTATGATGTAAAATTGAGTAATGTTTGTATTTCCATGACGTTTCTAAATCTGAATGAACAACGAATATGAAAATAGAATTACTCAACACTGCATTAAATGCAAGTTTCAGCATTCAATTATTTATATACAAACAGAAATAATTTGAAAGCTTTGCTTGATTCACTAAAATTGAGGAATTGGAAATAAAATATTGTGGTAAAAAAAAAAAAAAAATACTCCCCTTTATTTAATGTTGATCCAAAGTCATTAATTGGGATGTACAAAATATTAAATTTCGGCTTCAAAATATGAAAATGCCAAAAGTAATAATTCTTTAGGAACATGAAAAATTGTTAAAAATTAAAAATTTTGATTTCATTATTATTATTTTGTAATCAACAATGTTTATTCTTATGGAAAACTCCTGAAGATCTTCACACATTAAAGATAACCTGTGAAAGTCACAAAGAAAATTGGCATTAAATATTTTCCCTATATTATACAAATGTCCAGAAAATTAATATTTCAATCTAGCATTACACCACAATTTAACGCCTTCGACTTAAAAAAGCAGAGTTGTTTATTATAGCATTTTTAAATTTCGCAATGTTTTTTCCTCCAAATCCTATAATCTGCACACTTTCCACCACATTTTATATTTAACGATTCCCTTAATTTGTTTTTACACAGCAAATAGTACCATAAATTTCGCGTGAAGATCCCACAAACAGCACTTCCGCGCATCATTTAGCTCAATTAAAATAGAAAAAGGGATAAATCACTAGGAAGGAGCATAGCCGTGCAGCAAAATATATATAATATATCCAATTTCCCTGGCGCACGCAAAGAGAAGAGCCATGTGCATGACACCAAAAGAGAGATTCGCCACCGCCGTGCCATGTTATTATTATTTTTACAACCGCTTTTTATTATATACGCTGGGGTCAGACGAGAGGTCAGTCCCGGCGCAGAACAAAACTCGATTTGACGATGCCCGTTGATCTTTCCAAGCGCCAAAAAAAAGAATGAGAGGAGAGCGATTCGATTTCCGTACAAAATGAGTTCTGGTTTCCAACTTTTACTCTCTCGAGACGAGACACGATCCTATTCTGCATACTAATTTATTACGAAATATTTGTCCTGCTCTGGGCGACTGAGGAAAAATTTAACAAAGAATATAGAATTATGATTAATGTGTTTTTAAAGGACACCAATTATGCGCTTTACCCGCGCGTTGAAGTTACCCAATACGCACAGTGACGCCTGCAAATTTTTTTCATGCTCTCTCTTCTGATGAGTGCGTTGTGGAAATCGGCGATTAAATGATTTAATCGTGCGTCTTTATGTAACAATGTAAACACCACGCACGCTGATTATTTCATAGCTATAAAATCACAACCCAAAAAGGTGAACAAAACGGTGGAATAAAATGATGCTTGGCGAATTGTTTCGCCGCCGGAGAACAGAGCGTATTGTGCGAATGCTGATTTCCATCTGCGCCATGGACGAATGGTTTGCTATTTTTTTTTCGTAACACTATTCAAGAGGGAGGTAGAGAGATGCCCATCTTGAGAGCGTGCAGCTGGGGATCAGAAAGCAGCCCAATAAAAAAGGAAAAGTTGCGAAATTGGGTAATTAATTGATGCCCTCTTGTATCTGATTGTCGGGAGAAATAATATAAATGATCTTTGTAGACTTGTGTTAGAAGAGAGCACCATATATTTATATTATTCGTTAAAATTTATGTTTTTTTAGCATCCATGTGCACGTGCACCATTTTAATTTTTACCACTTATTATTCAAATCAAATTCTTAACAATGAATTTTCATCATGTACAAAAATTTAAAAAAAAAAATTTAATGTTGTCAAATGTAGCTTCAAAATAAATAAATTAGTTAAAAAACTAGTGCACATTTTTTTCAATTCTTAAATTTTTATAACGACTGTTAATGTAAACATTTACGACAATTAAAACGAAATTAATTACCAGTTAAAATAAAATACATCTTTTTCTATTGATATATTATTCAACGCTCAATTTACATTTGTTTGCAAGCAAACAAAGATACAAACAAACAGGATTGTACTTTTTAATTTGCTGGCGGATCCATTTTGGATCAACGTGAAATCTCTTCTCTTAACTCGATCAATGTTTACAGAATTAATGGTGCACAAAAGTTCGTGGCGATTTCGGGCTGCTCGTGCGTGCTTGATCTGCTCTGCAACAACACGATAATTTATCTGAAAACAGTCTCGCAGACACGCCGAACAACCTATCTTTATATTGTCGTCTCTGAAAACACTTTCACTGATGCGCGGGCTGAGCGTTAAAGTGATTTAGGAGGCGCAACTTTTTTTCATTTATAAATATAGAAACTGAACCCGATCTCTAAATGAACGATATGTGGGACGGTATTTTTGTTGCTTCACTAAAACAGATGGTTGCCGGAAATGATCTATGAAAAAAAAATTAACAAAAATAATAGTTACAAAATTTATTTCAAAATTGCAAGCATGTAAAGATTATTGTATTTAGGTGCTAATTGATAAAAAAAAAAATTTGAGATGAGTGTTTAAAAACTTTTATAAAAGTTCGTCGCTTAGGCAAAAACCTTTTAATACGTTATACAAACCTTTACATTTTTTGCTCGAAGCACCTACGCAGACAAAAGAAGTGGTGCCAAAATTGCGATAGCTTGAAAGCCCTTCCGAGAAATCTCGTGAGTCTGGCAAACTATTTTTTGCGAGAGGCCGAAAGTGTTTTTTAGCAACAGTAATAAGTTTGATAATGGTTTGGTGAATTTCTATATAAATGCCTGTATACCATTTGGAAACAAAATAATTCAAATATTCCGCACACAAAATTTAAAAAAAAAATTATTATGACCGATACAAATTATTATTGTGTGGTTAATTAATGATTTTTATATTTTTTATTTAAAATTACAACTCACATTTGTGCGAGCAAACAAGGAAAAAATATTTGATGATTAAAATTTCCATTGGAAAATTTGTTTGAATAAAAAAAAATATCGTCGGAAAACCCCATACATTCAATCGCAGTTGTTGAATCACTTATCGTCGGTAGTGCGAAATTCAGAGCGCACGAACTTCGTGATTTTATGCGCGTTTTATTCGTTCACGGTGTTCATATGCTTGATAGCACTCGCGGGCGGCCAAGTTCATCGACCATGTCTCATTTCAGTAACAATAATGAGCAAGTGTGGGAAGCAGAACAGACATTATTACTCTCTTTCTTTACTGCCTTAAGTGCATACACAATCTAGATTTTAGCACCACTGTTAGTAATTCATTAAAGTAATTTGGTGCGATAAATTAAGACGGAGGGAATTAAGAACTACTCAAATTATTACCAAAAGTGAAACTGCAACTTCATTATTTTAAACAAATATTGTCAAAACTTTTTCCTTTTGCTGATCTCAATTCCAGATTTTTTTTTTTAATTTGCATTCTTATTGGTTGAAAGCGATTTGCTCTTGAGTTTAAAATTAACATGCTAATTTTTAATGCAAATTTTCTGGCTCCCATCGGGATAAGCCTCAAATTAGCTTTCCGAGGCCTCCTTTCACTGAAGATCCGTAGTAACACCATTTTAATTTATTCTATTCACCCACGGCTTTATGTGTCATCGAATTATTTTGACCAAACTGAGTTTAAGG